GGGAGCTTTTTGGTTTAGTGTAGTCCCACTTGTTTATTTCAACTCTGTTGCTGTGTTTAGGTGTCATATCCAAAAAAATCTTTAACATTAACTCATGTCAAGGAGCTTTATTCCTGCTTTCCTCTAGAAATTTTACAGTTTCACGTCTTACTGTACATCTTTTCTCCACTGAGTATTGTTGGCTCCCTTGTTAAATATTAGTTGACCATATACTTGGGTTTCTTTCTGGGCTCTTTATTCTGTTCCATTGGTCTGTTGTCTGTTTTTATGCCAGTACCATACTATTTTGATGACTACAGCATTATAGCATAGCTTGAAATCAGGGAGTGTGATTCCTCCACTTTTGTTCTTTTTTTTTCTCAGGGCTTCTCTGGTTATTCAGGGTCTTTTGTGGTTCCATATAAGTTTTAGGAATGTTTTTTCTGGTTCTGGAAAAGATGCCATTGGGATCTTGATAAGGATTGCTTTGACTCTATAGATGTCTTCTACCAGTATTGACATTTTAACAATATTAATTCGTCCAATCCATGAACACAGGATACCTTTCCATTTATATGTATCTTCTTTTATTTCTTTCATCAATGTCCTGTAATGCATAAATCTTTCATCAATAGTTAAATTTTAATTTTAAATTCATCTCCCAGATATTCCATTGCTTTATGCTATTGTAAAAGTAATCAATTTCTTTACATCCTTTTCAGAAATTTTACTATTGATGTATAGAATTGCTACTGATTTTTGTATGTTAATTTTGTGTCCTGTAACTTTCCTGAATTTGTTGATTAGATCTAAGAGGTTGGGTCTAGGATTTTCAATATATAAATTATCCCATCTGCAAATAGAGACAATTTTACTTCTTCTTTTCCAGTTCTGACACCTTTTATTTCTTTTTCTTGCCTGATTGCTCTAGCTAGGATTTCCAGTACTATGTTGAATAGGAGTTATGAAAGTGGACAACCTTATCTTATTCTTGATCTTAGAGGAAAACCTTTCATCACTGAGTATATTAGCTGTGGAATTGTTATATGTCATATATGGCCTTCATTATGTTAGGATATGTTCCTTCTATCTCCAATTTGTTGAGTTTTTATTGTCAATGGATGTTGAATTTTGTCAAATCCTTTTTCTATGCCTATTGAAATTATCAAATAATTCTTTTCTTTCATTTTATTAGTGTAATATGACATTGATATGTGAATGTTGAACCAATCTTTTTTTATTTATGTATGTATGTATGTATTTATTTATTTATTTATTTATTTGAGAGAGAGAGCATGAGGGGAGGAAGAGGCAGAAAGGGAGGGGGAGGGAAGGGGAAACAATCTCAAGCAGACTCCACACTGAGCGCAGAGCCCAATGTAGGACTTGATCTCATGATCCTGAGATCATGATCTGAGCTGAAACCAAGAGTCAGATGCTTAACCAAATGAACCACTCAGATGCCCCTAATGTTGAATCACTCTTGCATCTCAGGAAAAAAAAATGCTACTTGAATTTATGAATAATCCTTTTAAATGAGCCACTGAATTTGGTTTGCCAGTATTTTATTGAGGATATTTACATTCATCAGGAATATTGGCCTAGAAGAAATATTTTTAACAATCAAATATACAGTTGTATAATTTGTCAATGAAAAAGTAAGATTTAAAACGTTTAAGTAATTTATTTTTTAAGATTTTATTTATTCAAGAGAGACACAGAAAGAGAGAGAGGCAGAGACACAGGCAGAGGGAGAAGCAGACTCCATGCAGGGAGCCCGTTATGGGACTAGATCCCCAGTCTCCAGGATCAGACCTTGGGCTGAAGGCGGCACTAAACTGCTGAGCCACCAGGGCTGCCCACTTCTAAGTAATTTAAATGGAATATCAATACTAGGTCTATTTATCTTGTGATTATAATATGGGAACAACTGAATAATATTAAGAAACTTCAAAAAAAGCAAAAATTAATAAAAATAGCCTACTGTTGATGAAATAGTGGATATAACTAATATTGGCATGATTAACTGCCTTTCACAAAAGAGAATATGAAGAATGTTGTTTGTTAGGTATTTCCAGGAGACAATGTAATGTGAATGCTCCCAAAATCCTGGTAAGAATAAGTATTTCCAACTTAAAAAAATCTTAAGGGGTATATGTGCCTGAAATCATAAACTAGTCATTATAAATTCATTAGCTTTCCCACCTAAACACATTCTTGTTTGGCTGGAATCACTAGAGTGAAAGCAATGAAGAAAATTAAGAATGAAGAAGAAGAACATATGGTTCAGATACCAGGATGTAGTAGTACTCAGTGAATGTTAGCTAGGCAGTGGTCTTATTCAACAATACTGAACTGCATTATTGGCCAGGGACCAGCAGATTTACTCATTTAGAAAGACCCTCTAGATTCACCATCACTCACTCTTTCATCATTGGAAATTAAGAATCGTCAATCAGCACAGAGATTGGTGGTGAAAAGAATAGTAATGCCAAGCAAGGAATGAAAAGCAGAACAAAGAGATTTGGTAAATTCAAATTAGTGGGGGAAGGGGAAGAAAGCATTCAGGCTTGCTATTTGCCAAGTCAGTTCTTCTAGGGTACATAGTTGCTTCAACAGGAAATATTATTGACCCATAGCTCAAGATTGAATTCTCCCACAGCTAAGGCTTCATGATTCTGTACATAAGGGGCAGATATTTTACATTTTATTCAGATAGGTAGAATTGTGAGAATCTTCAATTAAAACCATTTTAGTATTCTCTGTGACTTGCAGAAATGTTTTTCCTCTGCTTGATTCACAGCTTGCTCTTGCACTATTTTCCAGAAGGATAAGAATCCAAAAGAGGACATTTTTTTCAATTCTATTAACCTTCCAAAGAAAGAAGTGGTTTGAATTTGCACCAAGGGAAAATATGGGGTTTATTTTGGGGTTTCTCAATTTATGATCTATATATTTTTGTTATTATTACCTACAAATATTTTTGTTCTTAGAATAAATCCTGTGAAATAATTTGGTGCCTAGAATTTGCCTCCAGCTTATCCAGTGGGGGCAGGAACTGAGTAGAGGTGTAGAATTAAAAGTGACCATGAGTTTATTATTATTGTAGCAGGGTGATTAATACACACACGTTCAGTTGACTGTTTTCTACTTTTTACTATGTTTGGAATTTTCTATTAAACTGAAAAAATCTAAAGATCAAATTGCACAAAGTCACAGAGCCAGTGAGTTGCAGAACTAAAATTTAAGTTTCATTGCATTCAACTCCAAGACCATGGTGTAATCTCAGGTCAGCCTGGAAGTAAAAATAGATTTAAGCCACGTCAAAAGAAGAAAGATCCTGACTGTAAAGAACTAGTATTTGTATTGAATAAAGACAGGCAGATCTGAAAATTTCTCCATAAGATGTATCTTGTAAAATGGATGGGAATAGATGTTCTAATATGTGTGCCTATTACTTTCCATTTGTATAGACTTTTATTCCAATTCCAAAAGCCTACTGTTATCAATTCCCCAGGAGACCTCCATAGAAACAGAAAGCAAATTGGTGGTTGCCACATGCTGGGGAGGGATGAATGGGGAGTGACTACTTAATTGAGGAAGGGTTTTTCTTTTTTTTAATTAAGTTTTTAATTTTAATTCCAGTATAGTTAACATACAGTATTATATTAGTTATATTAGTTTCAGGAGTGGTGTAGTGATTCAAAAATTCTCAGTGATTCACAATTATTCAGTGCTCATTATGAGAACTGTACTCTTAATCCCCTTTCACCAAAGGGGATTTCTTTTGGAGTGATAAAAATGTTCTGGAACTAGAGACAGTTAGTGCTTCCACAACATTGTGAATGTAATCAATCCTGGTGAATTGTTCACTTTAAAACAGTTGATTTTGTTATGTGAATGCTACCTCATTAAAAAAATACATAAATGATAAATTAATACATGCAAAACATTTAGAACAGCGCCTTGAACCTGATAAGAAACTAATACATTTTGCTGCTGTTGTTATTGTTGTTGGCTGTTAATTGGTCAAAGACAGAGGCAGCATGTTGAAGGAGGTGTTTAGGGAGGGCAGTGCAACTATGAGAGATTTGGAATGTTCTACCAACCCTAGTACTCACTTTCTGGGAACTCCCTATAAGCCATAATCTCAGTTCCTCCATCCAAAAATACCCACATGCAATCTCATGCCAGGATGGCCATTCATCATTTGTAAAATACTATTTCTGAAATTAAAATTAAACTACCCAACAACCAAATGGGTGGATATTGCTATTATCCTTGATTTATAGAGAAGATAACTGAGACATTGAGAGGTGGTTTTCTCACACTCACACAGCTGGTCATACAGCTGGAATTCAGAAAGGGATAATTTAAAGTCCACAAATCTCTCAAACGCTGTCCTTGAAGAAGTTCCGATCAGCCCCTTGATAAAGTCAAGTTGGTGCCATATTGTAGATAAGGAAACTGAGCCCAGAGAGGGAAATCCCTTTGTCCAAAATCACACAGCTAGGAAGTAGAAGAATCTGGACCCATGGTTCAAACTGTAGCAATCTGATGTCTGGGTGGTCACGAGTTGGATAAAATATGAAATACTTCTATGGAATATCTAGAGGCATTAAAATCATTTATTATTTTGATGTGGAATAGTAGTCATAAAATATTCTAAAATCCCAGGAGAATTTGTATATGCCAAAAGCTGTGAATTTTTTTTTTAAGCTATGGTCTGATGCCATGGAAAATTGATGAAAAAGTAGTAGAATTACCTTCATAATTGGTAACACTGGGTGACAGGTATATGTGGATTTATTATACTGTTCTCCATTATTTAAAAAAACTGTTGCAATCTCAGCGGTAGGGTCTTCATGTGTGCATTTTCTTATTTCCTAGTTTTGTTCAATAAACACATTATTTTGTTTGGAAAGAAAATGTAAGGGGTAAAATCATTTGAGTTTGGCTGCTACCAATCCTACCAGAATTTTGGACATTCCTAGCAGTTCTGACTTGTGTTCTAGATATCAATGAGTGTGGCCCACCTCTACATGTCTTATGGAAGCCTTGCACATTGTCACAATGTGGAGGAGGGTCACTACTGTGAGTGTGCCTCTGGGCAAAAGCTCCTTTCAGACAGCACCAAATTTCAAAAAGAGAAGAACACTTTTCAAGGTAAGTAGCTTCCCATGACTCACATTTCTCCCACTCCCAGAACCAACCTCATCCTGTCAATTTTGACAATTGTCTTAGAACCATTATCCTTTAGGTCTGAGAGTCCAGGAGAGAGCACCATGGGTCTATCAGAGGCTCATTCTTCCTATTTCTCATTCTTGTTCAGACTTACAGTGCCATGTTAAGGTATATCTAAAAGATTCTTTATTGCAACATTGTATGCAATAGTTAAAGATTGGAAACAGATGACTTCTATTAATGGAGAAGAGTTTGACATATTACGGTACTGCCATACAATGATAAGCTTCAAAGCCTTTTTATCAACTTGTTTTTCCCTTTGATGAACAGTTCTATGAGTTTTTTCAAAGATTTTATTTCTAAGTCATCTCTATACCCAACATGGGGCTCGAACTCACAATCCCAAGATCAAGAGTCACATGTTCTTCTGACCGAGCCAGCCAGGAGCCCCAAAGTGGTCTATGAATTTTAACACATGTACATATTTGGATTACCAACACTTCATTCAGGATCTAGACCAATTATTTCCATTATCCTGAAACATTCCTTCCTTCTGTTCCTTTACAGTCATTCCACCCCTCTATCCTACAAACCCAAACCTACAGATGTTTTCTCCACTTGTAGCATTGTCTTTTGAAAATGCCATATAGATGAAATAATACAATATGCAGCCTTTTGAGTTATATTCTTTCCACTCAGTGTAGCATTTTTGAGGTTCATTCATATTGTTTGTGTATCAATAGTTTATTCCTTTCTTTACTCCACTTTTTCTCAAAAGATTTTATTTATTCATGAGAGACACAGAAAGAGAGAAAGGCAGAGATGCAGGCAGAGGGAGAAGCAGGCTCCATGCAGGGAGCCCGATGTGGGACTTGATCCCAGGACCAGGATCATACTCTGGGCTGAAGGCAGCACTAAACCGCTGAGCCACCCAGGCTGCCCCTCTTTTTTTTTTTATACTATATTTATTTTTTATTGGTGTTCAATTTGCCAACATACAGAATAACACCCAGTGCTCATCCCGTCAAGTGCCCACCTCAGTGCCCGTCACCCATTCACCCTCACCACCCGCCCTCCTCCCCTTCCACCACCCCTAGTTCATTTCCCAGAGTTAGGAGTCTTTATGTTCTGTCTCCCTTTCTGATATTTCCTACCCATTTCTTCTCCCTTCCCTTCTATTCCCTTTCACTATTATTTATATTCCCCAAATGAATGAGACCATATAATGTTTGTCCTTCTCCGATTGACTTACTTCACTCAGCATAATACCCTCCAGTTCCATCCACGTTGAAGCAAATGGTGGGTATTTGTCATTTCTAATGACTGAGTAATATTCCATTGTATACATAAACCACATCTTCTTTATCCATTCATCTTTCGATGGAACAAATTAGTTTAAGATTTGTGTGGAATCAGAAAAGACTCCGAATAGCCAGGGGAATTTTAAAAAAGAAAACCATATCTGGGGGCATCACAATGCCAGATTTCAGGTTGTACTACCAAGCTGTGGTCATCAAAACAGTGTGGTACTGGCACAAAAACAGACACATAGATCAATGGAACAGAATAGAGAATCCAGAAGTGGGCCCTCAACTTTATGGTCAACTAATATTCAATAAAGGAGGAAAGACTATCCACTGGAAGAAAGACAGTCTCTTCAATAAATGGTGCTGGGAAAATTGGGCATCCACATGCAGAAGAATGAAACTAGACCACTCTCTTGCACCATACACAAAGATAATTTTTTTTAATTTAAATTCAGTTATTCAACATCAACATTCAACTAGTAAACATACTTAGTTTCAGATGTAGTGTTCAATAATTTATCAGTAGTGTATAACACCCAGTGCTCTTCACATCACATGCCCTCCTTAAACCCCCATTTTTGAAATTTTTATTTTCCAGAAAGAAATATGGCTACAGTTAGCTTGGATTTATAATGACCGTTTTCTTCTCCTATTTATCTGGATCCTGGGTTTGGCTAATAATACAGTTGCATAAAATTACTTTCCCTGTGTGGCCTGCATAATTCTAATCTGTTGTTGGATCTACAAGTCATATTAGTCCAGGGATTTTTTACAGAGGCGGGCATAGTAATTCTCAATTTGGGCTCTCTGCTAGAATCACACTGTATTTTTTAAAAAATACAGATGCCTAAACCCTCCCTACCTAAGATGTACTGAACCATGCCTAGACATGTGGTTCAGGTATTTATATTTCTTCAAAGTTCCAATGGTAATTTTGATGACTAGCTCATTCCTTTTTATTGCTAAGTAATATTCCTTTGTACAGCTCTACTGGAATTGGCTTGTCCATTCACCTATCGAGGGACATTTGGGTTGTTTACAGTTTAGGATGATTAATAATAGAGTTAAAAGCATATCCCTTGATGAGTTACATTGGAATGCTTTCCAACTTGTTTTAAACGGAAAAGCATGCTGTGGGGTGGTACCTATGCCAATGGCATAGGTGGTATATTATGCCAATGGCTTTTCTTCTCCCTTATCTTTCTTTTTCATTAATCTCAAGCATATTTCCATAAGTGTATTTTAATTTTAAAACTTTTCAAGTAGTAGTCCAAAAAGTAAGTCCTATAATTTCATCATAGGCATGATTTGGTTGTCTACCACTGCTCTGGGCTCTATGATAGGCACTGTGACTCCAACACTAAATAAGCATAGCCTCTGTCTTCTGGATCTTTTACTCCAGTGGGCAGACAGACCTGTAGACAAATGCAATATAAATCAAGGGTTTGTGAAAAATTATAGTCACTCTTCACAAACCATACACTTCATGGGTAATGAAGGTATTTCTCACCACTGTACCCCAGTGCCTAGCACATAGAAGGAACTCTGGAAATATGCATAAGTGAATAACTGGAAAATAGCTCCATTATCACAGTAATCAGCGCTATGAAAAATCAGAGAGAGTGACAAAACATGAGAGACTCCTAATTCTAGGAAATGAACAAGGGGAAGTGGAAGGGGAGGAGGGCGAGGGGATGGGGTGACTGGGTGACAGGCACTTGAAGGGATGAGCACTGGGTGTTATACTATATGTTGGCATATCAAACTCCAATAAAAAAATATACAAAAAAAAACAAGAATTTTCTTTAAAACTTGATAAGTACTAGGATTTGTAACGAATCATTAGCAATAGAGAAAAAATGGGAGGGAAGCAGGGGAGACAGATAATTGCATGTGCTTTTGTGATCCGTGTTATTTTTCCCAGCCCAAGAATATTATTTTTTAGCTGACCTGGTACAAATCCTCATGAAGGTGATCTCACCTGAGCAGGACTGAAGCATCATTTCCAGGAGAGCAACATGTAAAACTAATGAACATAGCGATCCACAAATTTCAGCATCAAAATACAATCCTAGTAGATTAAAGTCTTGATATCTTGAAGGAGGATTATCCTGTCACACAGGTACTGCTGAATTAATATGAGCTCTACTTCTCTTCTAGATATCAGTCAGGTAATTCATTTTTTAAAAAAATGAATTCTATGGGTTCAATATATTTGCAATAAAAATCAGGTTATAAGTGTACATACACTTCATGGGTTTTCCCAATTGTAAAGACCCTGTACTACAACACCCACTGAGCTATAGAACCATTCCATCACCTCAGAAAGACCCTCGGTGTCCTCTCCGTGTTCCCATCCCTAGTCCCAAGAAACCACAGACCTCATTTTATTGTTACAGTTTCCTTTTGACTGTCCCAGAGTCATTCAGTAAAGTAGAATTTTTCTCTTTGTACCTGGCTTCTTTTGCTCAACATTCTATGAGAGTCTCTGATATTACCATGTTACCATGTAACAATAGTTCACTCCTTTTTATTGCTGTATCGCATTCCAATATACACTACTCCACAAGTTGTTTATCTGTCCTCCAGTTAATGGGCATTTGCATTGCTTGCAGTTTGGGCTATTATGAATAAAGCTGATATGAACAATCTTAAACATTGCTTTTGTGGACACTTGTTCTCATTTCTCTTGGGTAAATGCCCAGAAATGGAATTGCTGAGTCATATGGCAAGTGTATGCTTAGCATTAGTGTATGTTTACTTTATTTAAAAAAAAAAACTCCCAAACTCCACTCCAAAATAGTAGTTATCTTTTATATTCTCAAACAGCAGTATATGAGAGTTCCAATTGCTCCATTTTGCTGGTATTTGGTACTATCAATGTTTTAAGTTTTCCCATTCTAGTCTGTGCTTTTTATTTTTTATTTTTTTATTGGAGTTCAATTTGTCAACATATAGCATATCACCCAGTTCTCATCCCATCAAGTGCCCCTCTCAGTGCCCATCACCCAGTCGCCCCAACCCCCACCCACCTCCCTTTCTACTACCCCTTATTCATTTCCCGGAGTTAGGAGTCTCTCATGTTCTGTCCCCCTCACTGATATTTTCACTTATTTTCTTTCCTTTCCACTTTATTCCCTTTCACTAATTTTTATATTCTCCAAATGAATGTTTTTAAAGGTGTGACTGTGATCCCCTCTGATGAGTCTCAGAAGGAGGGTCCTGTGCTGACTGTAATCACCTACCTGGAGCTGGGCCTCTCTCTGCTGTGTCTCCTCCTGGCAGCCCTCACCTTCCTGCTGTGCAAAGCCATCCATACCACCAGCACATCCCTCCACCTGCAGCTTTCAATCTGCCTGTACCTGGCTCACCTGCTCTTCCTCATGGCCATCGACCAGACTGAAATCAAGGTACTGACACTGTTGCAGAGGTACCCCTGCCCTGCAACAGGGGATGCTCAGTTTATGGACCTGTGCTGCACTGGTACCTTAATAAAATGGCCTTGGGTTCTGAGGGGGTTGGAGGGGTAAGTAGCCTATTCCACATTGACTAATGAACTAGAAGACAAATCCTCCCCTGACAACTCGACCATATACATGAGCATTCTCTCCAATGGCAAGGTATGGAATAGGTCCTGGGGCCACCCTCCTCTCTGACAATCCCTCCTGGTGACCCTTTCTCCTCCCCTAGGTGTTGTGTGCCATCATCACAGGTGCCTTACACTATCTCTACCTGGCCTCCTTCACCTGGATGCTGCTGGAGGATCTGCACTTCTTCCTCACTGCACGCAATCTGAAGGTGGTCAACTACTTCAGTGTGAATAGGCTCATGAAGAAACTCATGTTCCCTGTGGACTATGGAGTCCTAGCCATAATCGTGGCCATTTCTGCTGCATCCAGGCCTCACCTTTATGGGACACCCACCCGGTAAATGCAAATTCCCACGGTCCTTTTCTCCAGCATGACCATAGCCATCATAGAACCAATAGTAATTTAATTTCACCAGATCATGATAGACAGAGAAGAGTCTGTGACCACTCCAAAAACATCTACCTGGTGGAAAATTGTGTTAATTAATGAGACTGTTTTATTTAAGTCTCTAAGATTTAATTATTTTTTAATTTCTTTTCATCCCTATTTATTTATTCTTTTTCAATTTTTTTTTATTTTTTTATTTTTTTATTGGAGTTCAGTTTGCCAACATTTAGCATAACACCCAGTGCTCATCCTGCCATCAATTTTTTTTTATAACGCATTCAGGAAATCACATAGCAGTTTCCAGAACCACTGCACCCCATCATGCCCATACCTTCGTGCATGCTCTGCCCTCTGCCTTACCCTTACTTTGCACCCAGTGAACTCAGCTTCATCATCCTCATATCACATGATCTGAGAGTTTGGAAATGCCGTCTGCTCTCCTCAACTTTTCACAGAATCAGTGGCCTCTATTCTAGGCAAAGCATGTCCTGGCTCATTCATGGAGAGGGTGAGGACAAGAACAGCCCTAGATTGGACCTGAGCAGAAGTAACTCACTTTGCAAATGGTGTAAGTGATCATTTGTTTTGGGGTTTCCACTAGAATTTAAGGCCTATAAAAACAGAAGTCTTATCTTTGTTGTTTTGAATTCCCTGGCCCCAGCCTACAGCCAGGTGCACAGAACATTCTGGGTAATGTTGGTCGAATAAAATTAGGGGTCTTCATGAAACATCATGAGCTTTTTGAAACTCACATTCTGGAGTGTCATCATAATCCTCAGTCCAAGTCAAAATGCCATCCTGGACCCAAATAGTGTTTCTTTTTAGGGAACCATTGACAATAAAGATCAAAGTCGATCACAACTCAGTCAGAAACATCCATGCAAGAGATATGAAACCAGTTCTGGTTGTGTTGCTCTTTGTGTAGGCATCATGAGCCTCCTTTCTCTTCCTACCCAGGATGCTGACATTTAAAGCCACAGCTCAGTTCCTCATCTTGGGCTGCACGTGGTGCCTGGGCGTCCTGCAGGTGGGTCCAGCTGCCCACATCATGACTTACCTGTTCACCATCATCAACAGCCTGCAGCGTGTCTTCATTTTCCTCGTGTACTGCCTCCTCAGCCATCAAGTATCACTGCCCAGCTCTCAGCTCCTCAGTCCCCTCAGTGAGCTGACCCAAGAGTGATTTGCCTCGGCAGGTCCAAGAACAATACAAGAAATAGTTCAAGGGTGTCAGGAAAACCAAAGCCAAGTCTGAGAAGTACACTCTTTCAAGTAGGACCACGTCTGATGCCTCCAAACACAGTGTGGTAAGATTTTGCAGTGTTCCCAGAGCACTTCACTAACCAATCCCCTTGAGAAGTTCATGCCTACCTCACTAGACAACCTGGATGTATAGTGGGCAATGCTCTTGGATGGCTCACACTTGATTTACCCCTGGACTCATTTGAAGGCACTTCTCTGTCTTGAAAGGAGGTCTTCCTGGACTTACACTCTATGCTCATATTGACCCTTGCACATGACTGTTCTCTTTTCCCACAATTGTACAGCACCCACTTCGTGTGACATGTTTCATATGGTTTTTAATTATATTTGGTGAGAAGATAAAAAGATAGATACTTATAAGCAGAGAAGGAACCTGGTCAGCTAAATAATCAAGAGTTAATGATCTAGAGCAGTGATGCACAAACTGCACAGAATCACCACACATCCTTTATGTGCAATGTCATTCCAGAAAGAAAGTGAGACCCACAGAGTTTATGTAAATTATGCAAGGTCTTCAGCCTCCTCTACTTTCCCCCAATTTCAGTGCCCCCTCACCCTTGCTGGCAAGTCATCTGCACATCTCTCCCCAACTTATTTGTCCTCCTTCTAAAACCGTTCCTTCCCAAATGCTCTACTCATCAAAATCTCATCCTTCTAACTCTTTCCTCTTCCCAGCAGATGTTCTTACCTACTTCTTCATATCAAAAACATGACTCAGCAGACAAGAAACAAGGTCAATTTTGCACTCTCAAAAACACCAATCATTTGGCATCTTGTTCATTGTCTCCTTATTCCATCTTGTTACCACAGATAGACAAAATATGCTTCCTCTCTTTTATGGTTAACCCCTCTACCTGCACTCCTCTTGGCTTCTCAGTAACTTCACATTACTGATCATACATTTCCTCTCTAGTATATTTGCTCTCATGTTCTCAAAAGCATCCTTTCCACCTGCATTGCAATATGCTAAACCTTTCTCTGACTCTGAAATATTAATTTTATATATTTGATTCTTCCTTCATCCTCCTCCAGATTTTCAAACCCAAATTTTGCCTCCATCATTCTACCAAAAGAGCTCTATCTTAGGCCTCCAATGTTCTCCACTTAATAAATATCCTTTGGTCCTCTTAGCATTCCTGTTAGCATTTGATACTCTTTGCAGTACTGGATGCCATGTTTGCCTCCTCCGTTTTGAAATATTCCTCTTGTGTCTCTGGCTTCTATGTCTTAACAATCCCTGGAATACTTGCTATCTTTCTACTGAGCTTTCTTCGTCTTTTATATTTCAACTACTCTACCTGGCTGAGTTCTAAAAACACTTCTATTCTTATAGCTTGGTACAATATGTTATGATGTATGTAGATTAATGTTTAGGAAAGTTAGTGAGTACATTTCAAAGTGTAAATCATAAGTGCCTTTGTAAAGAAGGAAAAAATGTATGTCCACATGTGCCTATGTATTGGAGGAGGCAGCCATAGGATGTGGGGGAGATGTTTCCCATTTTTCTGTTTTATACGTTGTTGGGTTTTTTTAAAGATTTTTTTAATTTATTCATGGGAGACACAGAGAGAGAGAGGTAGAGTCATAGGCAGAAGGAGAAGCAGACTCTCTGTGGGTACCCCAATGCAGGACTCAATCCCAGGACCCGAGGATCACGATCTGAGCCAAAGGCAGGCTCAACCACTAAGCCACCCAGGTGCCCCTATCTATACATTGTTAACATCATATGTTGGCAAATCGAACTCCAATAAAAAAAATATATACAAAAAAACACATCATTTAAAAAAGAATATTCACATATTTGTGATTTGAAAAATAAAAAAAATTCTAAGTTGCTACAAACCACAAAGAAAGAAATCTACATGATGTGTATAACTACCTACTTTTCAATTTAAAGTGTTCACATCTAAGGCAGCCCTGGTGGCTCAGCAGTTTAGCCCCACCTTCGGCCTGGCCATGATCCTCGAGACCTGGGATCGAGTCCCACATCGGGCTCCCTGCATGAAGCCTGCTTCTTCCTCTGCCTGTGTCTCTGCCTCTCTCTCTCTCTCTCTCTCTCTATATATATATATATATATATATATATATATATATATATATATATTATTTATTCATGATATATATCATGAATAAATAAATAAAATTTTAAAAATAAAGTGTTCACATCTAGAAGGGCTTCTCCAGATCTTTCCTTGGTGCATTTATATTTTCCATACTAGTTACTCTTGCAGCAATCTCTTTTCCTGGAAACTGTTAATCGTCCACAAGACATAGAATATCCTTTGGATCGGTTAAGTAGGAGGAATGAACAACTTTCAGTTACTCACAATATGATCTCCCCACTTCACTATGTGGAAATGCCTACCTGAAGCAGACAGTATACAGTACTTTTCCCCAAATGCAAATGCCCCTGAAAACAAGGCCCTCCCCACAAAAAGAACCTACAGAACAAAGTCCCAAGCAGAAATCCCAGAATGACCTTCTAGCACACTCCTAGGGTGTTTTTACAGCTGGGAAATTCAGTTTGTACTGGCCTGAGTTCAAATACTGGCTCAGCTATTTGCTCTTTATTACACTTTAGACAAACTATTTTATATCAGATGTCTTAACTTTCTCATTTCAAAACCCTCTCCTATCCTCCCTGACTGCTTCCAGCACTGCTCCAGATTTCTCCCACCTAGCTGCTCCTCCAGGACCCCACCCCTCTTCCCGCCATCAGGCACTCACATTCTTTCATCAGGACCCCTCAACCACTCTGGAGTATCCCTCTGGCCCAGACCAGTCTTCCCCATTATCAGACTCTCTCCAATTCCTTTTCAGGCTCATTCTTACAACTCCTCACATCTCCCACATGCAGAACTCCCACTTTCCAGCTTCATAGAATCCCCAACACCCAGTCTTGCATTTCTAGGTACAGGAGGCAGGGGTTTCTTGTGCCCAGGCTCCTAGAGTCACAAAATTCCAGTTTCCAGATTCTAAGGATTCCAGCTTCCAGGAATCAGCCACAAAGGTTTGAGTCCCCGCTAATAAAGGTGCTCTTCATCCAGAGGAGTGTGTGCAGTCTTCTCTGCTCTTAAAAGCCTCTGAAGTAGGGGGCTCAGGGAAATGATGACTTCAGTATATTCATTGAATCACTGGAAGGCAGAAAAATATAAACCACTCAAGTGAACCATCAATAAGAAATGGCAAAATGAAAAGTTATCTTGGATTTAAGGAATGCCAGTCTATAGACACAAAGACCAAAACACTTCTACCTATGTTGACATGGAAAATCTCCATGTACAAGTTGTTGGGTGTCTGTAGTACAATGCCGTATCATTCTAAGAGCCTAGATTTATTAACATCTTAATGTTTGCACAGATCTACTTTTTTGCCTTAATTTTCTTTTTTAATTTATTTTTTGTATATTTTTATTGGAGTTTGATTTGACAACATATAGTATAACACCCAGTGCTCATCCCATCAATGCCCTCCTCAGTGCCCATCACCCAGTCACCCTGTTCCCCCGCCTACCTTCCCTTTCACTACCCCTTGTTCGTTTCCCAGAGTTAGGGGTCTCTCATGTTCTTCTCTGATATTTCCCACTCATTTTTCTCTCCTTCCCTCTTTAATCCCTTTCACTATTTTTTATATTCCCCATATGAGTTAAATCATATAATGAGTGAAGTAAGTCAATTAAAGAAGGACAAACAATACACAGATATACTTTTATTTAACTTCCATAATTCAGTTAGAGATTCTATGTTTGGCAGAACAAATGATAATTTGTTGATAATAGAGAATGCTTATTTAAGGGAGATTAGGTCAAGGTGAGGATCAATCAGATATCTCTTGCATTTGTGGTGTTATATTTTTTATAACAAAAATAAGTTCATGTTTTTACTTGTTATCAAAAATAAGTTTTTAAATATTTTAAATAAGGTGCCCTCTCCTGGAAAAAGCAAGAATATAGTTGCTGAAGAGGAAAGTATAAGGCATGACATACTCCAACTCTAATTCTTTTTTTTTATTATTATTGGAGTTCAATTTGCCAACATATAGCATAACACCCAGTGCTCATCCCATCAAGTGCCCCCCTCAGTGCCTGTCACCCAGTCACCCCATTCCCCCATCCACCTCTCCTTCCACCACCACTTGTTCATTTCCCAGAGTTAGGAGTCTCTCAGGTTCTGTCACCATCTCTGATATTTCCCTCTCATTTTCTCTCCTTTCCCCTTTATTCCCTTTCACTATTTTTTATATTCCCCAAATGAATGAGACCATATAATGTTTGTCCTTCTCTGATTGACTTATTTCACTCAGCATAATACCCTCCAGTTCCATCCACATCAAAGCAAATGGTGGGTATTTGTCGTTTCTAATGACTGTCCAACTCTAATTCTTAATTGGTTTTCTGCCCACAGTGCTTCTTAAAATTCCTTATGTATCCAGAACAGCTTAGATCTTTTGTTAAACTATAAATTCTGCTTGAGTAGCCATTGGGCCTTTACTTTTGCTTAGGAAGCAGACTTGTGAAGCAATCTCACACTCCCCATGGTAAATACTCATTTCAAAATAATTTGAAAATCAATACTTGAATTGGCTCACAATTCATTATGCTACCTCCAAGGACATTCCCTTGGAAAGGAAATAAAAAAATAAGAGTCACCAGTACCTGAAAGAAAGAAAAAGCAGTCATTATTTAGAGAAAGCATAATTGTCTGCCAAGAAAGCTTCAGAGAATTCACTGGAAAAATACTGACAGCCCAATCACATGCCAACAGCAAGGTCAACATTAAAAATGCAATGGTTTTCCTATCAAAGGAAAAACAAATTTTAAAATACAAAAAGCTATTTAAAATTTAAAACTAAAACTTCTACATTACCTGAGAACAATCCTACAAGAAATGCATGAAGTTCTCAAGGAGAAAAATATCAAGA